CACCACTGAGTTGGAACTTTTCTGAGATGGTAAACCACATGGGGGAAGATGGCCTCACTTTATCGTGATGAGCATCTGGTGGATTTGAACTGTATGCCTTTGGATTGGCAGCACAGCTCCTTACCACTACAACTCCTTACCACTAAAGCCACTAGAGCTTTATAACTCTGGTGGGTATTTATTATGTAGAGGGTAAGTATGTTGCTTTTAAAAACTGAAGCTTAGATCACATTATTTGTGGCTTTTGTGTTCGTGCAAACACTGTAGATATAGACAATGAGATGCTTGTTTTATTTCCTGAAGAAACCTCTGGGGAAAACTAAGAGACTAAATACACAGCATGAGTGAGTCAACTACTGACAGCAGACTGCCTCCCAGTTCCCCAGCTCCTTGAATGCTCTGTGGTGTCATGGCAGAAAATGACGTTTACAGCCAGGGAAATGGATTCAGGAGTTGACTTTTTTCTCTGCATTCAGATTTCTTGCCTGGAAAAATAATAGTATCTGCCATCTGATATTTTTAGGGCACCCTGGTGACATAATACTTGGCTACCAAAACAAAAGGTCGATGTGCCATCAAAATGACACCATCCTCCATGGAATAAAGATGTAGCAATCTGTGTCCATAAAGGTTATCACCTTAGAAGTCCTGTGGGCTGCTCCTTCTCTGCTTAACAGGCTTGCCCTTAGTTAGAATCACCTATGGCAGTGGGCTTTAGATGTTAATATTTTGTGGGGGGAAAAAAAATCTTATTAAGTGTACCTGACCAAATACTTGACATACATTGTTGTTGTTAGGTGCTGTTGATTCAGATATGCCTCAGCGACCCTATGAATGACAGATCTGGACCCTGACCTGTCCTGTGCCATCCTGTGCCGTCTCTGACACTCTGCCCATTGCTACAGTCACTGTGTCAATCCGTCTGGTTGAAGGGCTTCTCCTTTGCTGCCCCTCCACCTTCCCGAGCATGTTGTCCCTCTCCAAGGAATAGCCTCTCCTAGGAACATGCCCGAAATACATGAGACAAAAGTTTTCCCATCTTTACCTTCAAGGAACACCTTTGGCTACACCTTCTTCAAGGCATATCTGTTTGTTCTTTTGGCCATCCATGGGATCCTCAGGACTTGGGCATTTGAAATGTGTCCCCTGTCTGCCACCTCTGTCTGTTCTTTCTTCCTGCAACACAGAATTATTCACAAGTGGCCAATGTTATTTCTGTGGCCTTTGTGAATGTTTCTAGTATTATGTTTAATTTTGACTGCATCTGTAAATCTGATTTTTAAAAAAATCTTGTACATTTGAAGGTTCTCTCATTTTTTCAGGACGTGGAGAAGTATATTTCTACAACAGAAGAGGGTTTGATGAAATGATTTGTAATGTTGCCAGTTGAACTGCTCTTAAAATCCACGCTGCCTTCCGCTTCACGTTTTGAGCTCTCCTCTGTTTTCAGCTCAGAAGTCAGCAGCACATGTGGTTGGAACCTTGCTATGGTGTTGAGGTCATTTGCAGTCTTTCCTTCTTCAGCCTTATCTTTTAAAAGGATGACAAATTCTCATTTTATTATTTTTCTCACTTTTACCTTTCTCGCACCTGGAAGTTGGGAATGCTTCCAAGCTTTTTTTGATCATGACCTGCAGAGACTCTTGGGCTTAGATCCTCATATTTTCTTGAAGAGAAATCATAGGAATGTGTGCTTGGCTGAAACAGTTCCCAGCGTGTGCCTACCCTTATATTCTGTTTCCTTACTCTCTTACCTGTTTTTCTGTTTTGTTTTAAAGCTGTTTTCTGGTGGCCTGCTTCATGTCTCTTGAAAACCATGGCTTTGGTGTAGGCTCTGAGCTTTGGGACGCTCCATACATTGGGTGACTTTCTTTGTTTCCTTTGAAACAGCGTGCAGTCTGCCTGACTGGACTTGTGTATTTGTTCAGCTTTCCGGCAGGGGAAGTTATAGTTTGGAAAATGTCTCTGCCATTTGGCAACTTCTGTAGGAAATAGAAGACAGTAGGGTGGAAAAGTTTCATTATATTGTTTGTGTTTAATGTGGGAGCCTCGAAACTATGTCTTATAGTCAGGAGTAGGGGAAGTTTTAATAAAAGCTGATGTGGTTTGGTGGGCAGGCTTTATGTGTGTATTCATTTTCTCTTGTAAGATGTGAGCTTGTTTTTGTGTTAAAATCATCCACCCTTGTCATAAGCTCTTCCCAAATAGATTGGTTTTGTTCTTTATTTTTATTCAAGAAGAAAAGCTTAATATTTTCATGACTGTCTTGAGTTGTAATCACAAAGTGACTTTATGTGTTGGGGCTTGATTATAATTATATTCATGAAGTTTATGTTGACGCACAAGGGAAGAACCGTCATGTGAACTGTGTTGACTGTAAGGAGCTTAGGAGGCTAAATGATGATCTATTTCATGTTACCCAGGAAGAGCTGATGAGGGTGAGGGGAGAGCAGGGGCAGAGAGGTTGCTTTTAAAAATAAACACAAAGTGGCCTTTTCAGTGTCAGGGAGGTACTGGAGCTAAGAACTGTGCAGCATTTAGTTAAAATGAAAAGGTATCTTCTCCTGTAAGGACACCCTGGGACTTCAAAGTTGTAGTAAAGGGCTTTATCTCCTGGCTTGCCTTCCATTTGATGTATGACCTTAGGGAAGTATCCATGTCTTCATTTGGTTTCCTTCCAAATCTGTAAAATAGTGCCTGAAACAGAATAAGGCTGTAAAAGTGATTCCTTCCCCAACTGCCTGTTCTTTCATATAACGCCAAGTCTTTATTTTTTTTTAGTGCATGAATACATTTAGCAAAAAATGAAGACAGTGATACTTTGTTTTCAACATATTCCTCACTTGTTTAATAAGTTCACTGATTGGGTTTTATTATAATGAATAAAAAAAGAAGTTTTAAAGTACTGTCCTGCTTGCCTGAGCTGGACAGAGGAAGCTGGAGGCTCACCCTATAGTTCTGATTAGGCAGCTGTTTATTGATGACAGAAGGACAGTACTCTAGCAGTGTTATGTCTAAAAAGTTGGAAGAATGCAAGGGAAATGTATATTGTTGTTTTACACTCTCAGTTTCCCTCATGAATCAGTCTCTTAGAACTTTGTCTTAATTTCTTCCCAAACTGTCCATTCAGAATAGCATTCCTAGGATGATGTTTTTCATCTTTACTGGCCCCAGATCTACAAGTCAGCATAGAGTGTTTATGAGTTCTGTACATGAATTTACACTTTGGGAAGAAGAAGGAGAAGAAGAATAAATAACTGAGAGAGTTCCTTTTTAATAAAATATATGTCTGCCTTTTGTGTAAACTGTACCTGAGTCTGGTGACATTTTTGTTTCTCATATTGGCTAGTTTGATTTGTTTGTTGCATGTAATTTCTTTAATGTTAGAATTTCCTCTGCTTCCACGTGGAAGTCAGGTCCTCCCTGCTGCGGTGTTGTACTTCTCTTTCCAAATAAGACATAACTCACACCAGTAATGAGTTATCACTGAGCAAACTGCAACCAAGGCAGCCATGTATGTCAGAGGGGCACTGTGCTCCATCAAATTTTCATTGGCTGATTTTGAGGGAATAAATCACCAGGCGTTTCATCTTAGGAGCCTTAAGGTGGACTTGAACTTCCAGCCTTTCACTTAGTAATGATGTGTGTTAGTCTTTTGTACTACTCACACTCTCCCATATCTGATACACATGGTGGTGGTTTGTTGGGTTTTTTTGTTTGTTTGTTTTGTTTTCTTGTCTGGGACTATTCTTGCTTCAAGGCAATAAGATTTCCTGAGCATCTGGTATATGGCAGATGCTTCACCGGGAGGTGGGCAAGTCCCCTCCTGCCAGCGTGTCTCTTGTCAGCTGAAGGTGACAGTGAAAGCGAGGAAGACCCTCGACTAGATGCATTGACACAGTGACTGTAACAGTGGGCTCAAGGCTGTCAGATAATGAGGCTGGCACAGGAGAAGGCAAGATTCAGATCTGCTGTTCATAGGGTCGCTGTGAATTGCAATTGACTCAGCGGGCACCTAACAATGGGAGGATCTTTGGGATGAGACTAGACATCTAAAATGACTAATAAATGTTTTGTTAACAATTTTGCTTAGTGCTTCAATAAAAAGATGGGGTTGTTCTTTTCTTTTTAGTTGTTTTTGAAATCATTAAACATTTTCATGCTTTTTTTTAACATATACTATAACACATCTTATTATATATGTTTTTTAAGAGCTAATGTAAGTAGTACAAAGCATGAACCATAGACTTGTAAATTTCCTAGCCTAGTGTTTTTCTGTCTCCGCGAGTCAGATTTGACTTGGCGACAGCTCGCAACAGTTGCTGCTGTGCCCAGGGATGTGACAGAGTGCTTTTCATCTTTGGGCAGCCTGCAGTTTTCCCAAAGAAGCCCTTTTCTCTGTGAGCCTGGTCCTCGGCCTTCTTCAGGAACCCTCGTTTTAACAGGGAAACTGAGACACTGTTGAGAATCTGTCTACTTCTCTTGTTTCATGTTGAAATATCTGGTTCCCATCGCATGAGTGGACATGGAAGGAATTCCATGTGTTAGCCACACCCATAGCCCTTGTGCTGTGATTAAGCTCTTAAACAACAGTTTGAATCCAAAAAGACATGATGATCTGTTCACAACAATTAAAACCTAGAAAATACCATGGGCAGTTCCACCATGTCTTATAGGGCTGTTAGGAGTCAGAATTGACTTGATACATAACAACAGTGCTGATAGGCACTCACAGAACAATTCCAGGTGTAACTTGCTTGGCGGCTGTTGCATCCTTGAGGCAGTGGGACGGGTGTGTGCAAATTCCCCAGGCTGTGCAAGTGGAGACCAAGGCAGAATGAAGGTGCCTTCTTTTTTGTCTGGCAAATTTTTTGTGGCCCTCGATGTGAGACTCTACTAGTAATTTATATTCAAGGATCCATGACACCTGAAAGGGAGTTTATGTTCTAGGAATTATTTTTATTTTGTTTTGAAATCTGTCTTTTCTTATTTTACTCTAGGTGCAACCTTAGAAGAAATAAACCAGCACTGGGACTGGCTGGAACAAAATCTCCTGCATACTTTGTCTGTCTTTGATAATAAAGAAGATATTGCTAGTTTTGTGAAAGGGAAAGTGAAGGTAGGTCCCTAAACTTTAATTTTTCACCCATATCTCTGTCTTCCTTATAACAGCCTTCTAAGATCTTGCACACTACAGGAATTTTAATCATATAGTCAACCAACATTTGGTGGGCGTGCCTGTATTTAAAAAAGTGGGCCTAATGTGAATTGATTTTGAGATGAACATTCTCTTAAGTGGTACAGCAGTGGTCCATCTCTTTGCTCTACTGAAGTAACTTGGAGTTGCTGTGGTGCTCAGCACTGTGCCATAGGTGTGTCAAGCGCCACAATGGCTACCCATCATGGACAGTGTTTGGTAGAGCTCCCAGATTGATTCAGCTTTGGAAGCAGGAATGGCATCCACTTCCTAAACCACGTGCCTCTGGAAACTCTATGAACATAGAGAAACGATGATAGTTACAGAACAGGGTTCAGGTCTTTTGTTCATAGGATTGCTATGAGTTATACTCGACTCGATGGTACTTAATAACAACAATGGTTTTCTCCACCAAAACTGTACCCCTTGATTATGTAAAGCCAGATAAGCTTAACATGATGTCAGATTGGGTAGTTTTTGTTGTTGGATGCCATTGAGTCATTTTGGTTTCATACTGACCTCGCTGGACAAAGTAGAACTGCCCCAGAGATTGTTCTAAACGATAATCTATCAGGAATTGCACACTAATGCAAAGCCAGGGCTTCTCTAGCAGTTCACATCCTCCAGCAGCGCTGAGCGAGAAAGACAGGAGGTCTCCTTCCAGGCAATTTGAGCCCCGGAAACCCATTGGAGGGTCAGCTGTGAGTCAGTTCCAACCTGATAACAGTGAGTTCTAAATCTTGGCAAGAGCTCATTGCTGGTCTCTCTCATGGAACCACTGGCTGGATTTGCACGGCCACTCTCGTAGTTAGCAGCCAAGGGCTTAACGGTTGTGTCACCAGGACTTCCTAAATTTGGCAGTCAGTCTCAATACAACCAGCAAAATAGCACCTAAGGTAGATAATAATGTCCTTTTAGGGCCTAGTGTTTGCTGTCTTTTACAGAAATAGAAGCTCTTTTCTCTTTTGGTGTCAGGGAAAAAGAAGAGGTCAAGTTTCTGTATTTCCAGAAGAGCAACGTGATTTTGATTCCTTAAATCCTTAATTAGTTATTCCTCACCTTTTTTACAGGTGAGGTGTGTTTTTCTGGTTAAGAGGGAATTCAGGTGTCCTTATAGTAAGGAGTTGTACTGCCAGCTTGAAGGCGTGGCGTTCGAATCCACCAGCCTCTATGAGGCAGCCTCCTCCTCCGCAATTTACAGCCTCTGAAAACCTGCTGCAGGGGCAGCTACGAGGCTGTTCTGACTCGACAGCACCCGAAAACCACCACCTCGTGAAGAGCTGCCTCTGCCCACAAGTGCTGTGGGGATGTTTAATTTTAAAATATATTAATTAAAAATATTAATTAAATGGAATGAAAGCCAATTAAATTTTGAGATGGCAAAGTAGGAGTATTTGAGGAGTTGTGTGTTCCTATCTCCTGTGAATTACAGTCTTACATAACTTGGTTTCATTGCAGTGGTATGATTGATAACCATTGCTTCAAAAGCCTTACCAGGCAAGGAGAGACTTTTTCTCATTCTAAATTTAACTCTGACAGGAAGCACTTCAACACATCATCCTGTAATACAATTTTCCCTCCTTAGAGTAAAACCTCCCAGACATTAGTTTAGTTTGGTTTTTTCCTTCAAAAAGCATACCTTTCCAACTCCCTAATAGCTTCTGCTTTTAGTAATGGGTTTCATGATATAATTCTCTTGCTTTTAAAGGAACAAAATAGAAAGGGTTTTTTTGTTTTTTGGGTTTTTTTTGGTGTGCCTTTGAGGGTTGGGTGTGATGATGTCTTAGTCTCTTAGTGGTGCTGTAACGGAAATGCCACGGTAGATGACTTTAAGGAGCAAATTTATTTTCTTAGTGTTTTCGTTATTATTGTTAGGTGCCATTGAGTCCACTCTGACTCATGTGCCCTGTGCCGTCCTCACAGTCTCTGCCATGCTCAAGTCCATTGTTATAGTCACTGTGGCGGCTCATCTCCTTGAGAGTCTTCCTCTTTTAATAGCTCTGCTTTTCCAAGCATGATGTCTTTTTCCAAAGACTGGTTCTTCCTAATAACATGCCCAAAGTCCGTAAGATGCGCTTCACCTACCTTGCCTCAAAGGAGCACCCTGGTTGCATTTGCTCCTTGTAGCTTCGAAGGCTAAATGCCAGCGTACTAACTCTGGGAGAAGGCTCTATCCAGCTGCTGCTTCTTGTTGGAGCTTCTCTGGCATTCCCTGGAGATACCCATGTGTCTTTCCTCCATTCCGTACCTCCTTGCTGCTATGTCTCATCCGATTTGTCTACCTCAGATGTTATTCAGTATGAAACACACTCTATACTGATACAGCTATTAACGTGACAAAGAAGACCTGATTCACAGAGATAAAAACAAAAACCAAATGCTGTCCATTCAACTCCTACTCGTTAACAAGCTGTAAGACAGGATAGAGGTGACCACAGTGTTGCCATGGCTGTAAATCTTTATGGAAGCATGCTTCCTCGTCTTGCTCCCACAGAGCAACTGCTGGGTCTGAACTGGCAACCTTTTATTCAGCAGACCACTGTGTCACAGAGCTCTTCCATAGGAATAGCAAAAGCATACCTAACCCATTACCACTGAATCAGTTCAGACTCATGGCGATCCTCCTCTGCGTCTTCAAGGCTGTAAATCCTTCCAGGAGGAGACTGTTCACTCTCTCCCTTGGAGTGGCTGATAGATTCAAACTGCTAGCCTTTCAGTTAGCAGCCCAGGATGCAGTGCACTGGCCTCCCAGGGCTCTTTTCCACAGACATAGAGATTAGTGCATGCTTATTGTTTAATCATGTCATTGACTCCATAACAAGGGTACTGGTACCCTTGAAATTAGGTGATACACAGGGGCCAGAAGCTCCAAGGAGTTTAGTAATATCAATATAATGTCTTTGGGTGGTCCTCCTGGCCTTTGGATGCTAATTGAGTGAGCTTAACATACAAAGGAGGGAGAAAGCAACCCCCAAAACCCACAGACGTACACTTAATTTTTTTTTCTTTCTCACTTGTTTTTTAATTATTAATTTCAATGAAAATTTACAGAGACTTTGGATTTCCATTCATTCATTGTTGCACTTTTCTCCCCTCCCAACCCTCGCCCCCCATACACTCCCCTCTTGGAAAAATAAAAGAAAAAATCTTTCATTGTTTTACAAACCCTCCCCCAGGTCCACTCCATCATGTAGCCTTCACTGTAGACACCTGTCATGACAAAAATACCTAATCACATATCCCTTTTAAACAGTTTTCTCCCTCATCTGCTTCAATGCAGTATGCACTACTGGACCCATCTTTCTCAATCTCCCCCAACTCCTATGTCAGTCCCATTTTACAACAGTGGCACCATGCAGTATTTGTCCTTTTGTGACTAAGATAATTCACTCAGCATAATGTCCTCCAGAGTCACCCATTTTGAATAATATTTCATGAGTCCCTTGTTTTTCAATGCAGCATAGTATTCCATTGGGTGAATATACCACAGCTTCTCTATCCATTCATTTGTTGATGGTCACTTAGGTTGTTTGCAAATCCTTGCTATTGTGAACAAAGCTGCGATAAACATGGGTGTGCATTTATCTGCTTGGGTGTCAGTTATGGTCTCTTTGGGGTATATTCCCAGTAGTGGAATTGCTGGGTCAAATGGTTTCTCTTTTTCAACATTTTGAGAAAGCGCCATACCGCCTTCCACAGTAGTTGCACCATTTTACACTCCCACCAACAGTGAATAAGGGTTCCAGTTTCTCCACAACCTTGCCAGCATTTGCTGCTTGCTGTTCTGTTAAATTTTGCTGTTCTTACTGGGGTGAGGTGATATCTCATAGTTGGTCAGACATACACTTTAAACAATGTTCAGGGAAGGTGACGGGTCTGGAGCAGGGTTAGAGGGTGAGCCTGCTGTGCTTACGAGAGCACAGTGTGGTGTCTGCTGTCCCTTTCTTCTGGCTAAACCCAATGATGTGGGGATTGGGGTTTTGTACTCATAGGTCTATCTCCTCTCATGCAATGTGCCACTTCCAAAAACTCACTGAAGGGTCAGCTGAGTCAGTTCTAACTTGGCTGCACACAACAACTAACAGGTCCATGGAGCTCTGGCTAAGTAATAAGAAGCTGTACTGTAATCCCAAAGGCACACAGTTTGAATCCACCCGATGCTCCTCAGGAGAAAGATGGGCACCTCCTCCCTTGCCGTTTACTGTCTCTGAAAACTCACTGGGGAGTCAGCTATGGGTCAGTTCTGACTTGATGTCTAACAACAACTCATAGGTCCTGAGCATCTGCCTGCTTTATCTAACAAGTTACCACCTTATAGATTCCAGCTCTTGCTGACCCAGGCATGCTGGGGTGGAATTTCTGCATAAGGATTTTCAAGCAAATCACTGCACTTTTCTTATAAGGGTGTATTTGAACCTCCACTCGTTAAGGTAGTTGTTGTTGTAAGTGCTGTCGAATCACTTGTGACTCATAACGACCTTATGTATAACAGCCCTAAACCCTGCTCTATCCCAAGCCAACCTCATTGTCTCTGACACACCTACCCCCATTACGCCAGTCACTGAGTCAATCTGTCTCATCATCTTCCCCTCCTGTGCTGTCCCTCCATCCTCCCAAGCATGACGTCCCTCTCCAAGGACTGGTTCCTCTTTGCAGCATGTTCAATGTATGTCAGATGGAGCTTCAGAATTCTTCCCTCCAGGGGACAACCTGGTTTCACCCTCTTTAGGATGAACCTGTTTGTTCTCTTAGCTGTCCATGGTATATTTAATACTTTTCTCCAACAACACAGCTCAAAGGCATCAATTCTCCTTCTATCATCCCTAATCACTGTCTAGCTTTCTGATGTATAGCATGTAATTACAAAGACCTTGGCCTGGATCAGGTGCACCTTAGGATCCAGACTGACATTGATCTTCAGTACTCTGTAGGTGTCCCTGAGTGTTTAATGGTTTCTGTAACCTATTAAAGCTTTAAACAAAAAGTTCTTTGTACTTTGAGCCATTACTGTTAGCAGACACCACAGTTCCACAGAAATCAAGTGTCTAGATGGTGATCATTTGTAGCTATGTCCAGAGACAACAGATCCTGGTCAACAAACATGACTTGTTTCCCTAGTGCTTTTTTAAAAATGTCTTTACTTTCAATAAATTATTACTGAACATTTTGATCAAAGATTTTATGGGAGAAAAAAAAAATCTTGATCAAATGGGAGAAAATGAAGAACAGAATTTTTCAATTTTCATGGCTTCAAGGCTTTCTGGAGCCAGAGACTTGATGAACTGAAACTACTGCTCTGAGGTGACCTTTAACCTCCACTAAACACTTTTTCATCTATGAGTGCAACACAAGTACCACAAGTGGATGATTTTAAGGAACAGAAATGCATTTTCTCATGGTTCAAGGTGCTCAAACTTCTAATCGGAGAACCAGCCGCAGGGATGGCTCTCTGCCGTTTTGGGGGACAGTTCATGTCTCTTTCAGGTTACTCTTCTTTCGTTTCTCGATGGTCTTGCCATCTATCTTGCCCTGTTTGTACTTGTCATTGTGTCTACTGTGTTCTTTTTAGGGAGCTCTGGTGGCCTAGAGGTGAGGAGTTGTGCTTCCACCCAGGAGTCACTTTGTCTAAATGTTCCAGGTACTCCCTGGGCGGGAGAAAGGTGGCAAATCTCCTATGCAGTTTGGTGTTGTGTGCTGTTTAGTGGGAAGCGACCCACAGCTCACCCTCCAGCAGGTTTTCAGAGGCAATAAATTGCACGGGAAAAGAGCAGCTGGTGCATTTGAACTATGTACCTTTATGTTGGCAGCACAACTTCTTACCAGTAGGCCTCCAGTTGGGGAGGTCTGGTGTCCTAGTGATAAGAAGCTGTGCTGCTGTCCTAACAGCCAACAAGAAACCAGCAGTTATTGTCTCAGAAAACTTCAATGATTAGGTACAAAACATACCCAATACTGTTAAGACATCATTAATATAACAAAGGAAGCACTTTCCAATGGGATTATATTCATAGGCATATGCTTGACCAGAACCAAGCCCAGGAGATGGTTCTGACTCACAGTGACCCCGTGGTTCTGTATAGAGTAGTCTCATACTCTTTCCTGGGATGTAATCTTTATCAAAGCTGACTGCCACATTTTTCTCCCATTGAGCAACTTGTGGATTTGAACTGCAGGCCTTTCTTTTAGCAATGAAACTCTTAACCACTGCTCCACAAAAGCTAGAATTTTGAGGGGACACTGTTCTATTCCTAACAGAAGCTGTTGTGTTTTTGTCATCAGGCTCTGATTGCAGAGGAGACAAGCAGCAAACTTGCAGAGCAGGAAGAGGAGCCTGAGAAATTCCGAGAAGCTTTGGTGAAGTTTGAGGCCAGGTTTAACTTCCCGGAGGCGGAGAAGCTCGTCACCTATTACTCCTGCTGTTGCTGGAAGGGCAAAGTGCCCCGTCAAGGCTGGCTGTACCTCAGCATCAACCACCTCTGCTTCTACTCCTTCTTCCTGGGCAAGGAACGTAAGTGGAGGCTCCTGATGACCTCTGGGGCTGTTTGCTCCTTTACAGACAAATTCAGCCTCAAGATGCGTAGCACCTGGTCTTGAGAAATGGGATTAGCGTGAAAAGATGTGAAAAGAGTTTTAGCTAAATAGTTGAGATGGCTGCAGTTTGACTGAAGGCTCAGTTATGGGTCAATTCTGACTCGATGGTACACAGCAACAAGTACTGTTGAACCCAAACCCAAACCCATTGCCTTTGAGTTGATGCCAGATGATGACTTCATGTGCACGAGTTAGAACTGCTCCCTAGGCTTTTGAAGGCTGTGACTTTTTGGAGCTTTATCTCTAGGACTTTGTTGACAGGCACTTCTGGGTAGATTTGGACCATCAGCTTTTCAGTTAGTAGCTGAGCATTCATTTGTGTCACCAGGAACTCCACTACATCTATGAATGGGTTTGATTTGTGAGAATCTGTTTTCTTTCTTGTTGTGTACCATTGAATTGGATCCGACCCACACAGGAGGAGACGGCCCTCCTTCTCCAGTGGAGCATCTGGGGAATTCGAACTGTACACCTTCAGGATTGCAGCACAGCTTCTTGCCACTAGGCCACCAGAGATCCCTAAGAATCCTTTTTTTTTAAAAAAAAATTGCTTTGAAAAACATTTCTGTGTAGTTTACATCACATAGCTGTTAAGTTGTTATATGAACTAAAATATTGCTTTTACTACTATATATTTATTTGAATATATAGTGTCATGGCTGATGATGTCCAAGTAACTTGAAAGGAATAGAACATACTCCTTCTTAGTACAGGGCACTGTTCTTAAATTTCCAGCCCTGAAAATCACTACTGCTCTTTGGAAGAATGGAGAGAAATGCAGTTGCTTCCAAGAGGGGAATTCTTCTCTTGTCTCATTGGTTCACTTTAAAAACACAACAAATTATGGCTGACATTAAGAAGAGGAGGGATCCCAGAACACTTAATGTGCTCTTGGGAAACTTATGCCTAGACGAAAGGAAGTTGTCCAAACAGAACGAAGGAACATGGAATGGTTTAAAATTAAGTAAGATGTACATCATGGTTGTATCTTTTCTTCATTCAGTTTGCATGATCAGCAGATAATTAGTGGCTGGAGTTTATGAAGAAGAATGTAGCATCGGGATCAGAAGATGACTCATTAACCACTTGTGTTCTGCTTATGACATTATCTTGCTTGTTGAAAGTGAAGAGGACTTGAAGTTCTTGCTGCAGAAGATCAAAGACTACAACCTTTCAATTGATTACGTCTTAACAACAAAAAAGAAAAAAATCATCACCACGGGACCATTAGGCAACATCATAATAGGTGGAGAAAAGATTGAAATTGTTAATGATTACTTGGATCAACAATTGAAACCTTTGATGCCAGAAGTCAAGAAAGCGAAAGATGTATCACTTTGGGAAAAGCAACAACCTCTCCAATGTGCTGAAGAGAAATGATGTTAGTTTAAAGACTAATGTGTGCCTGGCATGCTGAATTGACAGTGACTGCAGCAATGAGCTAAAGTATGTTGAAGAAGACAAGGTTCAAATCTGTTGTTATAGAGTCACTATGAGTTGTAGTCAACTTGACAGCACAAACCAACAAAAACTGCAGACAGTATGAGGTTACAAGGTATGAAATCTATGGAAGAATAGGAGTATCACCACTTGTTTATATTTGAGGATATCTTAGGTATGCAGTATTGCCATGACAGAAATATTACAAGTGAATGACTTAAACAAATTTATTCTCTTATAGTTTGGGGAGCTCTGGTGGCATAGTGGTAGGAATTGTGCTACCAACCCAAAGGCACAGGGTTTGAATCCACTAGCTACTCCACAGGAATAAGAGTGGCAGTCGCCTCATATGTGATTTACTGCCTCTGAAAACCTCCTGGAGAGTCAGCTATGAGTTGGTTCCAAGTGTACAGTTTAAGAGACTGTTATTGTTGTTATGTGCCATCGAGTCATTTGTGACTCATAGTGACCCTATGTACAAGAGCTCTAAATGCTGTTCTATCCTGTGCCAACCTAGCCATCTTATTCTTAAACGCACTTATTCCCACCGCTCCAATCACAGAATTGATCCATCT